AAGGCATTATTCAATAATAATATGTTGAATTTGGTCACCTCTGTCTGCAAGTCCATGTACATGGCTTTGTCAGTCTATGTGTGCAGTTTGGGAATCGACAAATCTTCTACACGATCGAATCATTAAAATTAAAATTTAGTCTGACAGGATGAATTTATTTCTCATGGGATCTCCAATGGAAAGTTTATTCAACCATCTTTCAAAATTTAAAGAATGGAAAATTCACCAAAAATTAATTTTTTTTATTCATTGTCTGCCCAATGTTTCAGCTGTCTTTTCAAATAGTCATTTGCGGAACAAATTAAAAGTAGTGTATGAGAAAAATTAAATGTGCTTAAGTCATTAAAAGGGTTTAAGGAGTGTTTTCAGCATAGCATTTACAGTAAAGAGATATAACTAGTGATTTGAAAGGTACAATGCTTTGGAAGTCATTGATCTGCATATTAACCTACATTGCCTTGGCATTCTGCAAATAAATTAAGTCATTTTTTACTAGGGGCCCCACCACAGGCTGAGCAGTTTTAAGTAGCTGAGCACAACTAGTTCAATTTGAGGTTCGAATCCCACGAATGGACTAGCTGCATGGAAGTTTTCATGGTTTTCCCCATGTATACAAACCATTTTCTTTTAGACAGTCCTCCACAAAGGCATCCCTCTTCTTTGGCAGATATCCAGTGCTTTGTCATAATCAAATAAACCAACCAACATTTTTCACTGATTCAAGATTGAAAATCATGCTTCAAGTATGGTTACGAGATTATTATCATTTCTGCCCTTTCTAATCGCAGTTATATTACAAATTGGTGATACTTTTTTCAGTATACTGGGTATTAAAATATGGTATTGTGTTGCGAAAATATTAATTGAAATTTTATTGTGTTTGACATTTCTAATTTTGCTAAGTTGTTTTAAGAAATTTAAGATTTTTTATTCAAGGTTTTTAACATTATTAATATATTTTTTGTATTGTTGAGTACCTTTTAATTAATATTTTGAATTTTTAAATTATTTTAAGAAAGAAGTGAAAACAAACTTTGAAGGCTGCCACTTTATAATTTTTATATGTAATCATTATTTTTATAGTGGAATGAATATTTTTTTTAATAAAATGAAATGTTATAGTGCAGTTCAAAAAGGCCAGTTGCCTTTAAGCGAGGAATAGAGGTCTTTTAGAAGCAACTGCATGGCCACCTTGCCCACTGGTGCAGAACAAAGTGGATTTACCCATAAAATGGATGTGTTAGTTTTTAGAGAAAGCTGTAAGAAATCTTCCAATGTAATTAGAAATATCTTAGTAATAATAAAAAGCATAATTTCACTAAAATTATTTCAAAATGATGTTAAATGGAATGGAGATTAGTTGTACAATACCATTTTGAAAATTGTTGTGATTATGCACAACAATTAATGGATGTATGCAAAATTTTTATGTTTATAATATTGTGCAGAAAATTTTGAAAGGCCTTTTCTAAGCAATTATGAAGATTTGAAACCTTAATTATGACAATTTTGCTTCAAATTTGATTTTTTCCCAGTCTGTCTTCTTTTCCATCTTATGCTTTCATTCTACTCATAGTTTTTCTATTCAAAATTTGCTGTGTACGTCCCCCTGAGATTGGAGATGAGGAGAGGAAAATCTCTAAGCTCCAACATTTTGCTATCTGGATATCATGAACAGATTCTAATACTACATTTTATCTTGCTATAATCTGACCTGAGGTTTTACATTATGTGTTTACTCTTCACATCCTCTCCTTGGGAAGGTTACAAGCAATGATAGCACATATCTGCTGACCCCTAGGAACACTTCTAATCCCCAAATTTAATGCTTTTTTAGTTAGGAGACTCTCATATGGTCATGAACTTACTGAGCAAGTAGTTGAATAATCTAAAAGTATGTTTACTAAATTTTCTAAGACATAATTTGATTATACAAGTTGTTCATCTTAACTTGATTTTTTAATTTTTCTATATTTATTTTTTATTATAGGTAAGTGCTATAAATAATTTTGTGGCCATAAAAATGTGAATGTAAACTTGGGGTGGGGGGGGGGAAATGCTAAAAGCCAGTTACGGTGTGTAAGGAATGGAGTTTCTTATATGAGTCATATTTAAGCATCGCACAGCCATCAGCAAGTTGTTATGCTAATTCGCTTGTAGAGGACCTACCCATTTTAATCGAAGTTTCATATAGTATTTTAAACTTCTGTGTATTAATTTTTACATTGCTCTACAATAAGAAAATCTGATTTGGTTTTATAGTAAATATTAAATTTAATAGATTTCCATAGCAGTGTACCAGAAACATTTTCATTTTAATTGACAACAATACTTTTTATGAAAGATTTTCACGAGACTGCGAGAATTTGTTATGTGATCTTCCAGACACCTGAAATTCACAAATTTATATTTTAAAGACTTTCAAGTTGCACTCAAAATTTAATTTACATATTATATCATGTATTATTCTAATATTTATAAATTTCATCTTGAAGCAGTACATTGGTTTTCATTGGAATGGCGTATATTTTACAAAATTTCTCTTCCTGTGCTCATGTTTTTTTTTCCAAAAAACGTTTTGTGTCACTTAGCCTTTTTCTCCGTAAAGCCTCGAAACGCTAGATAAAAAATATGTAACTGTGAGTTACACATTAAATTAGCATTAGCCCCTAATTCTGCACTTTTAATTTGGGCACTTATTGCTCTGTATTCTAAATATAGTTGAGATCTATTTGAGGTACTACTAGTTTTTAAAATAATAATAGCTTTATCAAAACTTCATCATATATGAAAACTAACCCAGGATTATGTCTTCTTAACTTTCTGCATTACATACAGATTTTAGCCAGTCAAAAATTTTACTATAATACCACTGCAATTCAAATATGCACTTTCACCCTTCTTTCCTACTCTAGCTTGCAGGTGCCACTTGTGTGACTATCATCCATTACTTGAACATGGGTTAAGTTTTAAAATTGTAGGGTATATACTGCACTCATAATTCCATGTGAAGCAAGTATTGTATCTCTAAAAAGACATTATCCAATAGTAAAATCAAGTTGAATTCAGCCACACCTGTCTCTAAGTCCATCATTTCCATTTACACCACTGTCTCAGTTTGTGTGTGCAGTTTGAGAATCAACAAATCATCTACACAATCCAATTATTACATATGTGTGTATATATAATAAATTAATAATATTATTACATTATATATAAATATGAAACAAATTTATTAAACTTAATTAGAACCAACTGGCAATAGATCTTTAATTTCATAATTTTATTATTAAACACATACCGTCTTCAAGGATATGCTTTGCATCATTTTATGTCACTAGGGATAGCAGGGAAAGTAGTGAATAGCAGGAAAAGAGTGATGCAGCATGCACTAAATAGCAGGGAAAGAGTGATGCAACATGCTGCATCACTCTTTCCCTGCTATTTTTCTGCATTGCGAGACCTTTTGCCCAATTAATGCTCAGAATTAAAGCAAAAACTTGCCGGGGTTATAAATATTACTGCAGTTTGTATGCATCACCTTTTGCTTGCTTGCTCTGCCTGAGAAAGTCATGTCTCTTTGATAAGCTTCTTTTTCTGTTATCTAAAATGTAAACTGTGTTTAAAGAAATTGTGGGCCATGTTTAGCATCCCTAATATACTAATTTATGCAAAAATGTATTTCTGAAGAATTTTTCCTGCTCAAAGAAAAAATGATACCCTAGCAATCAAGCTTGTGATTTTCCTTCCAGTCATATCTGTGCAGCATATTTCTCAGTGATGACTAAAAACTGGATTGGTTTCTTCTTCCTTAGCCAGCTCTTTGCTAAATTGTATGAATGTACCAATGGCTGTGAACCTCTAAAATATCACACACACATATATGTGTGTGTGTAAGATAAATATGTAAATATAAATCATAATTTAAATTAACAGTAGTGCCTTATTTCTTTATTTTAATTTTTTATTTCCCTTCTCTTTTCTAAAAATAGCAGTCTTGTCCTGCAGGGCATCATTTCGACACTAATCCATGTTATATGACTCTTGCATAATGCTGGTGATATAAATGAAACTAAAATTCACACAGCCAATAATAATTTTATAAGAGTATTATTTATCCAGTCTGATGCACTGAGAACTGAAACTAACTCATTCTGAATAATGAAGGTGAAAAATAGTTCAAAGATAAGCTGGAGGTAGTTTTGCTAACAGGCTTGTTTCCTGTGTTTATGAATGAAGCCACTTTTCATGTTTTTGGTAATGTTAATCACCATAATTTACACTTTTGGGGCACAGAAAGTCCATATGGTGTAATGGAACATAGTGTGATTTTCTGAAGGTGAACGTTTTCTGCGCCATTTCTAATACTTGTGTTTTGGGTCCTTTTTCTTCATGGATAGACCGATTAATGGGTGCATTTACCTAGATATGTTAGAGCCATTGTTTCCTCAGTTGGGGAAAACAGTTCCTGGCTTTATTCTGCAGCAAGATGTTGCTAATCACCTTGGCATAAAAATATATGTCAGTACTTGAACAATTGTCTACCCCATTGCTGGATTGGCCATGCTAGGTCGAATGATAAGTAACTGCTTTTTTAGCCCCCGAGATCCTGTGATCTAACCTTTTGTGATTTTTTTTTCCTGTTGAACTTTGTTAAAGACAAAGTATTTGTGTCTCCATTTCACAGGACTTTAGCAACTGAAGCAACGGCTAACTGAAGTGCTCGAATCATTAACAAAGGATGTTCTATCACAGTGTAGCAGGAATTAAAATACCACATGGATATTTGCCATGCCACCGGAGGGGCACACACAACACATCTATAGAAACTTGGATCACTATAGTTTCACTCTAAATTTAATTTTTCAAAATAAAATAATATCAGCATTCACAGGTATGCTTTCTTTTTGTCACATTCAATAGGAAATGCCCTATATATGCTTAAAAACTGGCTATATCTATGTAATGGACAACGGTGATGGAAACACGCCATTAATTTTAAAACATTTGTATATTTATCTATTACTTATTTGATAGCCAAAAGTTGGATGGTTTCGTTGGAGTCCTGTTATTGATGTTTGCACACGAGAAGAAAACAGAAGAATTCTTCCTGATACTCCAGAGAATATGATTAAACACCATAAGGATAACTTGCATGCAGATTTTAGTTATATGTCTGGTGTGACTAGAGATGAAGCTGTCTCTATGTTATGTAAGTTGTTTTTTCGATGTGATACAATTTCTCACCATATCTCTTAAGTGAGCTGTTATATTAATGAAGCCATTTGTTGTGTATGATCCTTTCAGGCGACTTTTTTAAACGAATTATATATTTGTTCTTAAGGAAAATTTCTATACTGTAAAAACATGCACTCATATGTCAATAATTAAGAAAATTGCAGTACTAAAAATAAACATAGTAAATGGTGGTAAAGTAATATGGCCTTATAAAAGAAACAAAGCACAGAAAAGTAATTAAAAAAATTGAATTTTATCATGTTGGCAATATGGCCTGGCTAGCTGAGAACAGACTTACACATTTGGATGCACTTTTTCAGGACATTTAAGTCTCATCTGCCTGCCTGCTTGCTTAGAAAAAAAGAAGGAAAATATCCCAAATGAACTACAGATACAACTCAGTAAGAAAGGAGGTAGCATAAAATTACATTGTAAAAGCAAAGAATAAGTACTTGTCTGACAATGTAATGTGAAAGATAAGGTGGTCATGAGATATAGAACTAAATACCATGTCACAGAGAATGTGTCTGGGAAGTCCCCATATATCTATTATTCATTTGCCCAGTTTAATATAATATAATGAATCAATTGCTAATTTTCTGTAGTGTTAATTTTTTCCTTCTAATCTTAGACAAATAATTTTATGCAACTTATGTCTGGTCATAGGTCATATCGGAAGGGATAAAAATTAGAACCATAATCTGCCAGTTAGCATCATTTGCTATGTTGCCAAGCATTTTTATTTGTTTTTGGTACTTTATAGCATCATTTGTAGAGGCGTGTACACAGTTTATATGGTCCTTGAGTATCCGTAGGCATTTTGGAAATGATTCCTAATTTAGGCAGAAATTTTCAATTGTCAGATTCTGACAGTTCCATTGCTTTTCTGTGACTGCCAATCAAAGTGCAAATAAACACTTTGGATGAATATATAATTTACAACAAAAGTTTTAAAATGCTTGATTGATTTTTCACACAGTCTTCTGAAGCCGGCATTAATAATAAAAGTACCATTTACCTGCAGTGGAAAAATGTTTTTAATTTTGACTTACTGTGACAAAAGTATGACTTTCAAAAAGATTAAAGTTCACACTTAATGAAAATTGCACTTCCACTTACTATTATCTGGAAATTGTTCATGAGAATGGACAAAAGGCTTCAAAAAAGGGGAATGATATTCTGAAAAAAATTCTGCTGTAATCAAAATAATGTAAATCTGGTGGAGGACAGCCACTCATTTATGTGGAGAGTTCACATGCTTCTGCTTATGTGCTACTAATAACAATGAAGACAATTTATAGCATTCCTCTGAAGAAAAAATGACCAGTCAAATAAAAAAAGGGATGACGATGGGTGGTTGGCTTTTGAGAAAATTTTCTTGTCTATAGCTTCTAGCAAAATTTCTAAACCTATGATCAAGTCATATCTGACATATTTTCAAGAATGTATAATAATTTTTGGGAAAACCCTATTTTTAAAAATCTAATCACAAAATTAATTTTTATGAATTTTGCCTTTTTCCCCCATGAGGTTAGAAAAAATTTTGCCAATTTGGTGATTGGTGACCAGATTTGTATTTTAAGCATGTAAATTTTGCTTACTGTTTAAATTTATTCTCTTTAATTGTGCAAAAAGGCCTTTTTTAAAAAATTTATATGCATTCTTTTGTTTTGTATTGCAAAATTTGGTGATTAATCATGATTTTGACAATTTTAAGATAAGTTTATTTATAAAAATTTTAAGTTTTCTGGTTTGTGAATTTCAAACAAAATTTTTGACAGATATTAATAATGGAATTTTGATGTTGTAAATATAACAACAGTGTATTAAAATTTTGTTTTTTTGAAAAAAATATTAAAATATTTTTATTTTTTTGTATTGTGTTTTAAAATGTTTTTGTCTTTGATTTTCAAATGTCTTGATTTTGAAATGTAAATGGACTAATAAATGTTATGGAGCAGAACTTTTTAATTAATTTTTATCAGAAACAAAAGAGCTACCGTAATTAAGTTCAAATTAGTTTCATTTATTCTAATTTTCTATAAGCGCTTTTTCCTGTTTAATTCTTTTTAAAAGATTCAGATACCTGTTAGCCTTCTTTGTAAAATTATTTTATGCTTTTTTCTAAAATGTTGTTAAAAATCTGATATTCCTATCCTTACAAAGTTGGCAGGTATTTTGTTGGCTAAAAATCAAGAAAAAGGCCTGTAGCAAAATCGAAAATGTCATAATCAAAAATGTTGCTTCGGGAAATCGCAGAAAAAGCAGTGAAAATGAAATTATCTGAATTTTCTGTGACATTCACTTATTATTTATCACTTATTATTATTTAGGCATTCATTATTTGAACAGTCCCAAGGGTACTTTTATTAGCAGACAGTGTTAAAGTAGCAGTTCTGTTTAGGGCTCTCGTGGTGTGCAGACTAAATGACTGTGTTAATTTAGAAGTTAAACAACAAAAATCATCGTTATATTTTCAAATTTTCACAGGACTAGTTTTGATCTGCAAAAATGCAAATGAAAAATCTTTTCATTTGTGTATCTGCAGTATACGATTCCAGATGTTGAAGTGTCCGAATTTCGGATACTTTCGGAATTTCGGATACTATATTACGGTCCGAATTTCAAATACTCAATACGAATTTCAGATACTTTTCGGAATTTCGGATATATACTCCGATTTCGGATACCGAATTTCGGAATTTCTAGACCATCAACCAAAAATATCGTTTATTGAACTTTTTTTATGAAATTTAGGAATGCAAACTATAGTATTCAAGAAAATAAAAGTATGCATTAAAGTCTCTCTCTTTTTTTTTTTTTTTTTTTTTTTTTCTGACTAACTGGAACTCTTGTATCCTTGTATCTCACATTCAAAACACTTCCAGGTTAAGTAATCAAACTGTGGCCAGTGACTGTACATTGATTGATGTTGGCTATGGCCACACTTTGAGCACTTGAGTGGTTGTGAGAGCGTTAGCATTTTTTTAATCTAGCAATAAGTGAAGCCCCAAGGCATTTCTTTGGAGTGGAATGTTGCTGAATATTGGTTTTCTTTTGTTGATAAAGCAGCAAGGAAGGGAAAAGAATCTAAAAAACTTGAGTTTACTTGCACTCTTTTCAAATTGGGCTTTTCCTTAATTTTCTAATTTAATCTACCTTTTTAATTTTTGTAGGCTATAATTATTACAGTTATCAAGTTTACTATTTGAATTTTTGATTATGTCTAGTTCTCAAATTGCAGCAGGATCTGTTAAATTGAATTGCTAGAAAAAATCAGTGAAGGCTTATCCATCCCAAGATTATATGAGAAGTATGGCATTGTAAAATCCATACTGTACAACAATTTTTTTTTAAAAGAAAGGAAGATAAACAGAAAAGAGGCCTTTTTGAATTTTTTGCAGATTTTGTCTTCCACTTGCAATGAATAACAGATCATTTATAATGCTAAAAATGATAATTGAATGAATGAGACTATGTTGCAGTGAGGGCGTGCTATTTACAGGTCCAATGCTAATGGCTCAAGCCAAATTATATCATGAGGAAATGGACTCAGAAACTGAGTGCTCATATTATATAGTTTAAACAAATTTAAACTAACCAAATTTAAAAATAGCCACGATAAAAGGCAGTTATAAATTTCAGGTGAAAATCTTCAGCTGATACTGAAGCAGCTGAAAGATTTCCAGATGAATTCTTCAAACTTATTAATGGCTGTCTCTTGAACAAATTTATAGTGCTGACAAAACTAGTCTTTTCTGCTTTATGTGATAACTAGAAATTGAACTTTATTGATAACTAGAAAGGTATTGATCTACAAGATCCACACTTCCCTTTGTATCATAGTAATAAGTTATGACCTTTGGTTTTGTTTGCAGTTTTTTATTTTTTGTTATTCAACAGTTTCAGAATCATGAAATGATGCTAACATTGTTACTTCCTTTGTGTCCTTATTTCAGAGTGAGGATTTTTGCACGTTTAAATTATATAACTTCATCAGATTTTAGCTTTTTTTTCGGTGCTTAAGATGTGTGTTGTCTAATCATTTCAACTACATCTGTTTGATATGTCAAAAGAATATCACACAATTCTGGTGAAGTATGATAATTAACTTAAGGTGATGCAGTAGCCTTGTTTCAATAATGACCTTGTGAAGGTATCGATAGAGATTGGATTTTAAGATGAAATAAAGTACACATATATTTTATACATATTAACCATATATAAGCAGTTCTAGATTGGCTTAGTGTGTATGTTTTGATTCCGATTTTTTTTCAAGGGATATACTGACACCAAGATATACATCCTATGAACAACATCAGACTTTCATATATGGTAATATATCTTTCAGGTGTAATTCTTGTTTGATATACTTTATTCAAATGCTCACATATAGGCCAACTTTTTTACAGTTTTGTTAGGATGATTATCGGGATCATGAGAATGATTGTTCACAAATTGCAAGTGTTTTTTTTAATTTCACAGTATCGATTATATGACTTGTGAAAAAAAGAAGTCTCCAGTCATTTTTTCTTAGTCCAATACATGCTTTCCTCAGGTTTTTTGACAATACCTTATAAAATTGAAAGCGCATGGAACAAATGCATTTCATGTAGTGATACAGGTTTCTATTCTTTTCTGCTTTTCAGTTTCCTTTTACCAATAACATTACCTGATGCTGAACACAGCGATTAGTTTGTTTTTAACATGTGCTATTTCATCATTTATGAAATGCTCATAGTGTTGTGAGATGCCTGAACTGGCTTGAAATGAAATATTAACTTCAGGCAATAGTTTGAAGTGAAATTGTGGAGGACAAATATCTTGGACATCCGGCATAATTTTGTTTCATTGGCATTCTAGTAAAGGTTGGATGTGATCATTACTGTTATCACTCTCTTTAAATTCTGATACTTTGGAATCAAAAGTATCTGTGAAAAAAAGTTGCTCTTTAAGTCGCTTCCCGATTCTTTAACACTTAAATCCTCTTGTTCACTTGAGCTATTCATTTTACAAATAGTAAACCTGAAAAATTAATTAGCACTGAAACTGAATCTTTTCAAAACGTGTTCTATGTAGAAAAGTATTCTAAATCTGCATACTACTGTTGTATAATCAAATTACAAAGTACTGTACTGCTATCTGTGAATCTGCTGTGTAAATAAAACTGATATGGCCATGTGATAAAATTTGTAATTCCCATGACTTTTTATTGCACAAGCACAGCCCATGTGAGATATGGGCACGCACAATTTATTCGAACCTCCTGCCTGTATGGGAGACGGGTGTGACGACTAAGGTGTTAAAAACATTCTCGACTCAAAACTTTATTGACAATGCCCTAGTCTAGAAGATTATTAAAACATATGTAGTTTATGTCACATATTTTAAGCAAACTGGATTTGCATGTTCATAATGGTGCTATTAGTGTTGCACTTATTCATCTAGCATGAAATATGAATAGACATCGTGTTTCAGATGTGCATATGTGCCTCCTGAATTTCGTTTATCTCACAAAGCTCTTTCTTGTGTTTGGATTTCATTTTCTATCAGAGTGTTTGAAATAGCTGTAGCCTTGTTTCACCTAAATTTTAAGTTATTTAACCCTCTGAGCGACATGATGGGCTTTATCTGGTCATGAGATTTTTTTGCCACTTGGTACATATTAGCTCATAATTAAGATACTTTGCTTTCTTACTTTCTTTAAAAATGAAACTAGAGAAATACACAAAAATAGCACATAAGAAATAATACAAATATATAAGAAATTACATAAATTTTACTAATAAATGCTGTTTAAGTACTGGTCTTCATGACATCCAAAAACCTGCGCCACTCAGGGGGTTACAGTAGTTCACACTAGCTCTGCTAATTGGGTAAGTTATTGTCTGTTGTGTAATCTGAAATAGAATAATAAATTTTATTTGTTAATATTTTTTCATGTTGCTGCAAAAGTGTGTGCCTCTTAGAGGACAGTATTTTGGTTTATTCTTTATTTTCATTGGAAGATATTTAATGTGACATTTTATTTTTTCTCCTCTAGTGAACGAAGTAAAACTGAAGGGTTCAAAATTTAACTATGAAATTACAAAAAGTGCATTTCAACAGAAAATTCAGGAATATTCTGCTATATTTAACTATACTCTTGATGTTGTAGCTTTATCAAAAGCCATAGAGTTCATGTACCTACCACATGAAAAGGATTTAGGGAATCAAACCTTATTAAGGAAGGGCTATATTAATGTGAGTATTTAAAATTTTTATCAAAATCTTATGTCTCAGTCTTTTTATGACTTTTTATATGCATGTGTATTTTCCACGTTAACTTTGTAAGAATTTAAGATTTTTTTTTAATTCTGGTTATTTATTTTTAGATGCTTTCAGATAGCTATGTTAAAGCTCCAAATGATAAAATGTTAAAATTGCTTCTTAAGCGAAAAATTAGGACTTACACATATGTATTAAATAGTTCTCTCGAGGGATTGCAAAGCATAAAAGATCATGAACATAATATTTTTGGAGATGGTAAGTATTTCAAATGTACAAATGTATTTTTTTTTCATTTTCAATAGTGCAGGAAACAGTCTATTAGCACTTCTAAAATATTTTCTTTTTTTCAGTGGAGGGGGCATGAAGGAAATTTAAATATTAAGTATCAACTATAATATATTAATTAATCTTAACTATTCCTTTATAGTTTGTATATTTGCTAATTCAGTTAAATGCACTAGCTCTTATTCTAATACATAAACATAATGCATTGAGTTTTAAAATTGATAAAACTATTACTTTTTTATTTGTCTTGGGCATTATGTTACAAGCATAAAAATTATTCATACCTAAATATAAACATGGTTAATTATTTTATCTCCGTAGCATTTAATTGTAAAATACGAACCAAATAATTCACAGAAATATAGTTCAGTAGAAATCAGATAATCTGCACACCTTGGCACAGATTAGAGAATTTTTCTGATTGTAGATCATATTTCTATGTATCTTTTCCCGTTTATTTTTTTATATGAAGTTTGGATTATTTGTATATAACTAACTAAAACCTTCTTATATTGTAAAAATTACTTCACAAGGATTTATTGGTTACAAAATAATGTTTTGTTATCAGTAAGTATGAATACATACAAACAAGTAAAATATTAGTACAAATACTGGAATTGAAACTTTAGATTTAATAAAAGAAAATTCCCATATTCTTTAGCACCCTTTTTTTTTTTTTTTTTACCAGGTTTTCAATTTTTAATACCAGAAAAATCTCTACAGCAGTTATTTTTAAGAATCTAATATCTGCTGCTGATCTAAACAAGCTTGCTAATTGTGTGGAATGTGAGCAAATTAACTATGAGTTGAATATGTTTTAAAAGCTGTCAACCAAATAAATTCTTTCCATATGTTATCCGCGTAAATTCAAAATTAATTTTGAAAATTGGAATTTATCTAAAATGAAAAATTTGCAAAGATTGGCAATGCAAGCAGAAATGTGCTGATGATGAGCAGAAAATACTAAATAATTTCAATAATAAATTTGCTTCTTGAGCCAGAATATATTGGAAGTATAATGAAATTTTGCCATAAAGTTTATTTCCATGTACAAGCAAAGAAAATACTCTGATGAATTTTGTTTGTTTACATCCTAAACATGAACACTGATTACAGCATTTTCAGATTAAGTTGTTGTGAGTTATTGGAATACTACTTTCAAAATGTCTTACAGGTGGTGCCTTACTCTCAGAATAAAGTTTCCTACAGCTATCAGCTAATGTGCTTTGGCATGCCCAAGGGCAATTTTCAACACTAAAGCTTTCAAACTTTTTCACAATTAAAAGTTTTAATTCACCAAGGGTGTTTTTTTGCTTCTTCCCTCACCTGAGCATCTTGTATTTAATGCAGTGGTTAGTGATCTGCAGTAATTCTCGGGTGCACTGTAAAAAGCATCCTCGTCAGCTGTTGTCATGCAGGCAGCATCGCCGATAATACAGGCTTAGCAGTAATGTTTACTATTTTCCTGTACAAAGCATATAAAAGGTACAGATACCTTAAAAACTGAGTCCACTCAAGGCAAGATTTTGTGTCTACCTTCCATGCATCAACCAGATGCCTTCATTCTGCAGAGGATTTTGCGATTCAGTCTTTGGATTACTTTCCTCCTGTGTTCACAAGACCTTTTTATGTGCACCACCATATTATGCTTAATTTTCTGTACATTTTGGTAGCTTATTTTACATATTTGTAAGTATTTTCAGTGCTCTACATTGATTTTTACACCATTTCCACTATTTCTCAACTTCAACAATGCTGTGACATCGGACTTCTCTGTTGAACAGACCAATTAGAATGCTTTCAGGAGCTGACTGCTGTGTACTTAAATTTATTTTGTTTTCACATCATTTTAGACTGCACAGAGTCTGCTAGGCACCTTCTGATTATGATCCTTATATTTACCATGATTTTAAATGGTCATGCCTTACTTTTTTACTTTTGTTGCACTTTCTGTGCATTTACTCAATTTCTATGCTTCTGACATTAATTGCAACTGTGATGATGCCACTTTCTATAAGTATCTTCACTGTAAATACTGTTGTATATATTGTGTTTATGTAAATTTGTACCTATGTTTTAATTCACTGAATGAAATCTGCTCATGGCACTCTACTGGACACCCAAACTCAATTTCTCTGCTTGTTAACTCACAGACCAATCAGGTTGCAGCTGCGTGCTGGCCTCAGGAATTTTATGTACAACTTAACTTTTTTCTACTTGTTCATCTCAAAATATTTTCTCTGCTACTTCATGATATAGAAAATATTTTCCTTCAAATCTTGATTGGTCACACGACCCCTTTTGATACCAAGTTCACCAAGCACAAGGAGCTTTACTTATTTTGGACTTTCTACTTTTTGGGATGATGTCACTTATGTCATGTGTCCCTATCTGTTAATGATATTTTGCATTTTTTTTTAATGCTTATTTTCCCACAGTTTTTTGCAAGTCTAAGAAATGCTATATCTGATAAAGAAATGCTTTTCCAGGCGTGTGATGCTCTGTGGCCCCCTTTTCTCCCTCATTGCTGCTCTCCAGAGATCCACGCTCACGAAAACCTTGCTGTCTTGTGCCCTATGGCCCGTATTTCATGGAGCTGGAACACTACATACCAAGTATGCGATATCTCTGGCATAAAGTGGAACTTGGCTGTGATTCTAGTTCCACTTTCAAAATAATTAAATGGAAATAAAAAACAAAAACACAAAATATAAATGCAAATAAATATAGGGTGGTTATAATTAAAGTTCTACTTTGAAATTGTCATAAAAGGCAAACTACTGGACCAAATGTTATCAATGGTAATCGTGTAAAGGAGGTCGTGGGAATTTATTTTCCGGGGAAAAAAAGTTTAAAAACTAACCACCAGGGGGAAAATGGCACTATATGCAATATTGTTAAACAAAATAAGACATGAAGCCATCGGTTTAAAATGTGTTTAATCGTTTCTAAAACATGTTACAAAGCATGTTCAATGGGGCATCCACCATTGAATCGTATTACTGCATTTTCAACAGCAACGAACATGTCAGCGTATCGCATATTTCAATTCGACCAAATTGTTTAGATTATCACCATAAACAGTGCTTTTGAGATAACCCCACAGTCAAAAGTCAAAGGTGTTGAGGTCTGGTTACTGGGGTGACCAAGAAGTGGGGGAATGTCGCTGTTCATTTGTGAAATGTTGCCTAAATAACTGTGTGACACATGAACCAATAAGTGGTGGGGCCCCGTCCTGCATAAAAATCGTGGTGTCTAAAATGCCATGTTGCTGCTCTTCAGACATCATGAAACATATTAACATTGACGCTAAATGAGTTGCAGTCACAGTGCATTTAACAGGTCCAGCTGTTGACTTCTTTTCAAAGAAAAATTATCCAATTATGGTACTAGCTGTGATACCATACCAAACAGTGACTTAGGAGAATGCAGTGGAACTGCGTAGATAACATGAGCGATATGCAAGAAACCGATTTCTGGAATGCACACACTTTTGCAAGAGATTTTCTATCTCACAATCTCTAATTTCTGATTTTCACATATGATGCATTCAACTTTTATCACCTTTAAATGGTAGTTTTGTTTAGGTCAGTATTTCATAAGGGTATACAACCCGTGTAACAAAAGGTTAAGTGAGATTCCGACCCTTATTTCATTTAACAATATTGCAGACAGCTCTATTTCCTCCCTGGTGGTGAGTTTTTTTAACTTTTTTTCTGCGCACAATAAATTCCCATGACCTCCTTTACACAATTACAAAGTTTGATAACATTTGGTCAAGTAGTTTAAAGTGGAACTTTAACCACCCTGTAATTAAAACAAGCCAAAAACGCAGCGTATTTACACCTGCATTGCAGTGCCCTCGCAATTTATTGCCAAGAGTTCAGAGATCAAATTCAATGCAACTGTATTAGAATACGCTGGTGCTCAAATTAAGAGAATATTCACATTTGGTTGATTATCTCTAGAAATGATGGACTGATTTTAATGAAATTTAATATGGACATAGATTAATATACTACTAAAAACTGTACCACTCAACAGTCGTAACACATGTGCATGATCGAGTTCTCTTTGGCATAAGAAAGTCTAAAACAGAGTTTGCAAGTTCGAACAAAAGTAGAGTGTAGTCCCATCTAGGAATCATACAGCTCTCAGAATGTGATTTCATATTGAAAATGAGGTTAAAATATCCATGTGACAGTAGTTCCCATTCCTGCAGCAATACTGTTAACAGGTCTTGTAGTTTAGAAATGAGGAAAGTGAGTTCCAAGTGCTCTCTCATGAGCATTTCAAACATGCTCTGTATTGTTTGGGTCTAGAGATCTAGCTGGCCAATTTACCCAGTTAGTAGCTCACTTTCCAGGAAATCCTTCACCTGATTAGCCATATGTGGACAAGCGTGGTTATCCTTAAAAATAAACTGAGGGCAAACTACATACTAAAAATGGAAGCATAAGGCTTTAAGATCTCTTCCTTATAACTTGCAGCAGCCACAAAGCCTTTTGCAAGAGTTCTTGTTCTTACGTCCAAGATTAATGCCTGCTCAGAACATCACACCTCCACTGTTATACTGGTCACTTGCTTGAAATTTTGAGGATAGATAGCAGTTTTTTGGTTGTCCTCAGATGAATGTCACCAAGAGTGACTTGTTGGGTTGAATCAAGGCTCATCTGTGAAGGGAATAATCACACATTATTGCTTGGTCTAAGGTCAGTGTGTTCTGTACTTTGCTAAACAGGTTCTATTGTATGATTGTAGAAGTGAATGGTATGCAGGCAGCAGGTCTTCAAAACAGATGAGAGGGAACTCTATTTTTCAGGAGTGTAGATTTCCCTCAGGTCATTTTTATGGATGAGAATGCTCGGCCACATGTTTTATTCAGGTAGATGATTTTCTTGAAAGTGAGGATATTAAGAAGCCTATGGATTGCCCATCCAAATATCTAAACCTAATCCTTGTCGAATATGTTTGGGATGCTTTTGGGAGGAGAATTGCATCTCACCTAGAATCCTAAAGGATCTGAAACAGGAGTGTGACTGAGTGCCTTAGGGACTCGTAAACTGCCTCACTTCCACTATCAAGTCAACATTGAGGCATGACTGTTAAAAGGGGCCATACTTCGCCTCTTAGTTTGTTTGATTTTGCTACTTCTGCTTTAGACCTTCCTGTGCCAATGAGCTGTATGAAGTGACCATGCTTGTGTACCATGACTGTTGTATGGAACAGATTTTTTTTAATAGTATCATTCTGTGTCCATAAAAAGTTGTATATCAGTTCTAAAGATAATTATTCAAGTGTAAAAATTCTCTTGATTTTGAATAATGTTTGCTCTTTCAATATTATTGAAATTATTTTTAAAATAATGTTTATTTTCTCTTCAGTGTACTTCTTCCTACCATGCTAGGCTCAGCTTTAAATAAGTATATTTCTTTCTTTGTGAAATTCCTTTCCCCAAATAATCTATATTTTTTCTACATCAATGGTATTTGAAATTTCAAGAATTCAGCTTTAAAGTATGTTTATCACTTTGTAATCTTGGATTTTGTCTATTTTATATGACTTTTAATCAATTCACAGAAGTTCACAACTGAAGTGTTTATCATTTACAGTACCTACTGCTTATTAAAATCACTTTCTTTACAAGCATATTTGAGTTAAATAAATGGTGATAGCAGTTTTTAACTTTTCAAGTAAAATAATAACTAAAAATTAATTCATTAGTTAATCCTAAAATTAAACTATTTATTAGTGGCATAGCTAGGCTGGGGCAATCTGTCCCTGGGCACAGCATCCAGGCGGTGCCAAATTGATGCTACGAAATTTTTTAATAATATGTTTTCCATTCTTGGCACACAGAAAAGGGTGCAAATTCCTCAGTTGTCCCCATGCGCTGGAATCCTAGCTACACCATTGCTATTTATGCAATTTTTAATTTAATTTTTTATAAAAAATAACTTTTAGCATACAGTAAATTAAAAAAAGCTAAGGTAAATGATTTACTCAAATTTCGAAATTTACATTTCTAAACAGCCCAGATGACTCTTTATTTAGTCAATCTGCCACTTCATCATTATAAACATGACCATTGCTTTTATTACTTTTTCTTGAGCCTTCAGTTACCACTTCCTTTCCATTTAGAGATTGTTAATGCATGATAATGCTTAGAAGCATTTCATGACCCAGTTAATAACTCTTTGTGAACAGAATGTATCTATCTCAAGCAGAGGATTCTGAAGTTGTAAAGCTTAAATGATGGGATAAAGAAGTTGCTTTTTCACCTCCTGTAAGATGGTGTTTGGGAAGGAACTCTTACTTGTTAACCTTGTTGCTTTGTTAACTGTTTTTGTTAACCTTAAGATAAGCAAATTATGCCAATATAAAGCAAGTGCAAACAAAATCTAAAAACGGTATCTTGCAGATACAGGGACCCAAATATTAGTTAAACCCGTTTATTGAAACACTACATACCTAAATGATAAAGCCACAGCCCATAGTATGTTAAATGGATGAACTAGGAAAAGCTTTGACAGGTACAAGTAGAATATTCTGGCACTGAAAAAAGTTTCTGGCACTGCAAAATGGAGAAGAATTTAGTAAGTGGTGGTTTTTCTGTTGACTAGTATGTGTTTGGTTCTTGGAAATTTGAACTCAGCAAGCAGCTGAGTTTATTAATGTGTTTAATAAGTGGGGGATACTGTATTTTTATTTGAAGGAATGCTTTAGTTAATTTCACTTAAAATATTTCTGCATCAATCGAAAATTCTGAAAATTATCTTTTCTGTTTTATACAGTCAAAAGTCGTTAATCCGGACTCGTCGGGACTTCGGCGATTCCGGATGATCGATTTTTCCGGATTATAGATAATCAGTTTAAATCTGGTAAGATGGCATGCAGAAATTATAAAATTCAAAATATGAAACCGTAATTTATGAAATAAAGAACAATTATGATCTAAAGGGTATCAAAATTTACAAAAAAAAAAAAAAAAAAAAAAAAAAAGAGCTTAATATTTATTTGTTTACTTTATTAAAACATTTCTTTCAATGTAAGTTGTTTAAGTTTCTTCGTTTTTTATGTGATAATACATTCTCTTTAATTCTATAAACAGACATAATTTCTTGTTCAGTTACAAAGTTCCGCTGTTCAAGTTCTATAATTGCTGTGTCGAGAATACAGACTAATTTGTCAATCGAAATTTTTTCGTTTTCAATAACCTGTGTTACTTTCTTCGCTATCGGAAGTGAATTATAATGACGAGGAATTTGATTTAAATCATATCAAAGACGGAGTACATCGAGATGAAATACTACATTTAGTAAGGAATTATAAGCCAAATAAAATAAAAACATCTGCCCTGAAGATAAGGATAGTGCTGACAGATCAACTTCCAATTCATTGCGCGCCGCGGCGTTAAAGATAAACAAAGTTTAGATAAACAACATTAAAGTTTAGATAAACAAAGGATATGCCTTTATCCATTTTTTTGTTTAATGGACTTCGAAACGTACTTTCGCTTTGTAGATCCTTCACATATTAGTAAATATATATCAGAAATTCTATTTGACACAATCGAAAGTTCAAGCTTACTTTTATAAAATTGCTGTAACAGTCTGCAAAAAATAATAAGCCGAATCCAATTCGAAGATTAAGGAACAACGCAATCTGCAACATCAACTGAATTAGATAATTTTAGCTTATACCATCCGTTATACATTAAACGTGCATTCGTAAACATATTTTGTGCACGCGCACACGCATATTCGCAGCTGTAAAAGTCTTACGGCGACTCATGCGCAGAAAGTTTGTAGCTTTGAGGTCCGGATTATGGGTGTCCGAATTAACGACTTTTGACTATAAATAAATACTGCAGTGAGTTAAATCTCTTTTATCTTTTAAATTATGTTTTATTCATTATTAATCTTATTTATGTTTAGTATAACACTCCTAATTTATTCTGGCTTGTCTGGCTTTTGTGGTTTACTCTGTTTGAATGGCTTGTTGTTCTGCTGTGGAGCTATTTCCCTGTACAAACATAATGCTGATTTGTTTTTCAAAGTTTTTTTGGCACAGATAATATTTGTTATTTTCATAGTTTATTTATTAGCACTATAAGTTATTTTTAAAATGCTTGTAGTATTAGTATTGTAGCATTTCCCCCCTTTCTAGTTGTTCCTCATGATACTGAGTATTATTTTATCACTGGTGCTCCTTTTATGGATCCAAAGTTATATCCTGATGGTCTGAATCTGCAGGAAGCACAGTGGACTGAAAGGGATAGGAACATGAGTCAGTTTTTCATGACTGTCTGGGCCAACTTTGCAAAGTTTGGGTAAGAATGGAAGTTTTTTTGATTATGAAAGAAAAATATTTCTGTTAGCAATGTTGCGTGTGTACTGATTCATAATAGATTGGATGCACACTGCTTCAGTGATAAATTGGTAAAATTTAATTTATCAAAAAGGAACACTGCAGAGTTCTGAAACTTTCTACAAAAATTGTTGTACAACTCTTCACAGTATCTCAGAGTAAAATCAGTAGTTACACTTCAAACTACCATAATTTCCGGAAGAAACGCCGCGGTGTTTACGTGTTTAAAACTTAAATTTTCAGCGGGTGTGGCGTTTCTACACATGTGGCATCTAGGTGCACTAAAAATAAAATATTTCCTAGTCATTGTACATAGTTTGGATGGCCTTGTCATTGCACATAGACTGGTGCTGTTCCCACACAAAAGACCACTCAGTTGCTTTTTGCAAACGTTTATTTTGTTTACATTCTTTCCCTTGAACAGACCTACATGCCTTATTCACCCTAAACGAGATCTCAGAACAATAGCATTCTTCCCCCTTTCAAATCAACATTCTCATCAGTTTGAATAGTCTCTCTCCTCTGCCATTCAATGAATCTTCCAGTACCCATCCTCTCCCCACCCCTGTCCTTTTCCATTGTAAACCTACTGCAATTTTTTCAAAGGCGGACACGACTCCACCTGCCTCGCAATAACGAACTTCTGACGTATTTTCCCTTCAGCATGAATCGATTTTTCTTGGCATTCTGCCAGATACAAATCCCATCAGTTTGGGTACAAGTACTTGTTGGATAGTTTTTAAGTAAGAAGGGAGCGGGAAATTTTTGAAAATGTCACCTAAACCGCACAGAAGCTATACTGCTGGTTTTAAGCTTAATGTAATTTCATGTGCTGAACAAATTGGAAATAGAGCAGCAGCTCGAGAGTTTGAAGTGGACGAGATATGTATTCGACGTTGGAGAACTGAAAAAGAACTTCCTAAAAATATGCCACAACAGAAACGAGCCAAAAGAAGTGGTACTGTAAGGTGGCCAAATCTAGAGGACGACCTTGCAAACTAGATAAAGGAGCAACGAGGAAAGGGAATGGCAATTTCAACAGTAAAAATTCGCTTACAAGCAAAATTTTTAGCAAAATGAATGTACATAAATGATTTCAAAGGAGGACCTTGCTGGCGTAGCAGATTTATGAGAGGGAAAATATTTCTGTGTGTACTAGAACAACAGTCGGGCAACAATTACTAATGGACTGGCAGGATAAAAAGGCATCTTTTCTAAAATATGTGACAGATATTATTGACAAAAAAAAACTTCTTCGGTCACAGATAATAAATATGGATGAAATGCCGTTAGCTTTCGACTCTCCTGTAAACAGAACTGTTGATGAAACTGGTGCAAAAACTGTATCTGTGCTTACGATGCGACATGAAGGAATGTCATTTACATGTGTGTTAGCTTGTGCCGCAAACGGTGACAAGCTAAAGCCGATGATCATTTTTAAACGAAAGACTATTCCAAAGGGAGATTTTCCTAATGACGTAATTATTTGTGCAAATGAGAATGGCTGGATGTGCAAAACAGTCATGCTTGAGTAGCTACGGAATGTTTGGCAGTGTCGTATGGGATCTTTTTTCCAACCAAAAGAGTTATTGATAGTGGATTCCACGCGTGCTCATTTACTTGAGTCAGTGGAAACCAGATGTCAAAAATTGTGTACGACCGTAGCAATAGTTCCTTTTGGTTTGACAAAAATCTTACAACCATTAAATTTGTCAGGTAATAAATCCTTCAAAGCTGAAGTCCGAAAGCGGTGGGAGTGTGGGATGAGTGAAGGATTGCATACGTATACTAAAAGCGGTAAAATGCATAGAGCATCTTATGAAGAATTTGCAAAGTGGGTAGGAAGTGCGTGCTTTTAGATTTTTGCTGTGTTGTTTGCATATTTAGAAGCCTGAGCCAAAGCTTCTGTTAGTATTTTACTTTGTGAATCCCAGCATCAATTACTCAAATTTTGCAATATTTTATATTAGCAAGCAGCAGTGACTCTGTAAGCATGAACTGTGTATTTGTTTAGTTATAGTAAAAATGTTTCTTTTAAACCTCCAACCTGAGTTATAGTTGCTTCACTGAGATGTAGCAAAAAGAACCTAATTTAGTTTTGTAATTCTTATTATGCCATATATCTTTGCTAAAACTTTAATTTTAATATATAATAGTAATAATAATAATAGTTTACATAAAATAATAAGCTGGATCAAAGCAAAAAGTTAAGAAAAAATGTTGTTCAGAGTGATAGTTGACCTTAAGCTCATTGGAATCTTAATTCTTTGTCGCTTCTTCACAACTGCAAACAAAAGAAAACCATCATGTACAATATGCCACTAGAGGCAAACTCTTAATGTTTTTTGCTTGCTAACAGGAAATCCCCACTAATCCAGGACAAAAACTGATTTACAGTATTCATTTGTTTTCCCTCTTGAGTAGCTTAATCTCAATTCACACACTATAGGAAAAAAAAATTTTTTTTCAAAGAAAAAAGTGGATGGTTTGATATTTGATCATTCCACTTATTGGACATCTGGATTTAAGACTTTGTACTGTATAACTATAATGGAAAGTGAAAAGGGTAATGTTAAAAAAAATGAAATGTTTCTGTTTTGATACATGCAATGTGCTTTGGTATGAATATTTATTTCATTGTATATACAATATCTATTATAGGAATCCAACTCCAGCTAAAGTGTTTGATATTTCTTGGGAGCTTACAGATTCAAGGAATATGCAGTATTTGTCCATAAATACAACCAATTTTACAACTGTAATGTTGTCAGGGTATCGACAAAAGGAAAGCCAGTTTTGGAACTCTTATTTACCAGCTTTGATGAAACTCAATTCAACACCTGCATCTTACTGCCAGCCTTTATTTCAACCATGGGAAGATAAGAAACACCATTATCTAGGTGCATTATGGGGAGTCTTAGGAGCTGTTGGATTGTTTTTAATTCTGAGTGTCCTTTGTTTTTATCTGTATTGTAGAGCTAAAAAGTAAGTATTTATAATATTTCAATTTAGAAGAGGTTATTGTTGTTTTTACTTGTGTCCACTGTGTATATTGCAGTTTAGGTACTTAAGGACTCTGAAAAGCGGAAATCCAACTCAGTTTTTTGTAGCTTGGAAATGCCTTTTGGTCACAAAAATATATTTTTAGTGAAGTATTTAATAAAATGAATTTTCCCTCATCTGGGGCCAGTTTGTCAAATATAAAAGTATGTAAGCACAAAAGTCAAATCAGTATTAATGTGTAATCATGCTCATAAAAAGTAAAATACACACAAACGAAAAAAAGTTAGAAAAATTTTAATTATAATATAAAACTAAGTGAAATATTTACAAAAATATTGTAGATGTGTGATTTTTGGAAGTAAAAGCATATATCATGCAGCAATAATGAAAATACTACAGATTTCCTTATTTTTATACCTACAAATAAAGATGTAATATGAAAATAAACAAAAACAGTGAATAGTAAAACTATACATTTATATCATGAGAGGATGGCATATCTGTAGTTCTGTTAGCTGCATTTCTGACATGGGCAGTTCAGTTATGAAAGTATTTTTACAAAATTTTTGAAGATTTTTATCATGATAAAATTGAAAATAGCTAGCAAACTGGTGAGGCCGCAGCAACAGAATGTGTGTAATAAACTAAAAACTTGTTAAAGTGTGAATAAAAGGTAACGACTGTAAAATTTAGTCACTAAAGTCTTTAGTCAAAAGTGGAAAAGGAAAATTATGCCAGTGAGTTCAATAACAAATAACGAGTACTAACCAAAACAAACAACTAAATAAATTAATTCCAATGAACTAGTAAATAAAAAAAGAGAAAAAAATAATTTGCATACCTGTCCTGTGCATTGAGCTAGCTGAATTAATAGGGAGATTAAAAAGTTGAAACTTCATCAGTTGTAATGATATAAAAATAAACTTTGTAATGCAAGGCTATGTTATATATAACTAGGACTTATTTGTAATAAAACTGTTTATTGTAAAATGTCAAAATTAATTAAATATTTCGAATTTAATTTAAAAGCTCTTTAAGGCAAACATAAAAACCACTGTGTATAAATAACCAAATATAAAAAAATAAAGTAACTAGAGAAGTGTTTTATTTTTGGAAATTTAATGTTGACATGTGTTATGCAACAAAAGAAAAGCTACAGGTAGAGTTAAGAGAAATGTATGTAAAGACTTGTAGAGAATTAGGTTAACTTTGTATAGTAACAGATTTGTTACGATTTCTTTCTACAAATACACATCTTGAAAATGTCTAATCTTATGTTTTTCCTAATTGTGTATTATTTTTTGTGGTACAAATCTAAAAACCATTTAGACTGATTTGTATTATTTAGAACTTTAAACAAATGTTGTGTTGTGACTTATCTCACTTGTCTGATGGTAACATCAGAACAAGCCCACAAAATGCATCGTGGCAAAATGAGCAAGATTGTGCCTTTCATCGGCTAGAGCCTTGAGCACAATACCGGTGACAGTACAACTTCGCTCAGTTCCACCTAATTTCGGGGGAGAGTACTTCGGAGGAACAGGTCTGAGGGTCTCCCAGCCCTCTTACCTTATTGCCTCTTACCATTACTAATGTGTCATGGTGAGCCGAAAGCTCTCTGCTCACCATGTGTTTAGGGGCACCCATGCCACAAAGACATACATTTACAAACATTCATGCCTTCTCCGGGATTTGAACCCGGGCCCTTCAGTATCGTAGTATGCTTTCCTAACCACTATACTGTCTGGGCGGCTCACTAAAACTAATAGTTCAAAATTTGCAAAAATTTATTAAAATTTGCAATACCACCTCACTTCTAAAAAAGACATTTTCCTTTCAGAACCATCAAACTATATATCGAATTCTAATGTCTCAAAGTTATCACCAAGAATGTTACATCACCCCCTTATTTTTACTTATCATTCAAAAATCAAGAGGGAGAGATTTTGCAAATAATTCAATTTTGGAAAGATGTATGGCTGTAGTAAAAATGTAACAAATGAGAAGTATTCATGAATAAACTACAGTAACTATCTAAATATTATTTACACTGGCTTCTAAAAGTAAAGCACTCAAAGCAAATAAGCAGTTTTTGAAATTGTAAAGTGGCTGAAAATTTATGGATGCAGATGCCAGTATGAAAATATTGGATGTTACAAACAATTATGATAGATTTTCCAAACATATGCTAATTGGGCAGTCACTGAAGATGCCAGCTTCCTGACGGGTTTGAGGAGGTTCATTTAAATGTGTGCTGGTGGGCTGTCAGGTGCATCGAAGCAGGCGGGTCTGTTAACACGTTTGCTGTCAATCATGCACTGGCCTTATTAGTGAATCACGCTCTTGCGCATGGTGTGGCGGTGATGTCTCAGGTGTCAGTCACGCTGGCATGGAAGAAGCAACATCTCATTGTTTATTTTCAAGTTCAATGAGCATTACGTTTTGGATATATATGCTGGTATTAGCATGGAGTAAAGGTTAGAAACTGGTTGTAAATGTATGTGGTTTGGAATGGAAATAAAGTTTAATTTCATCCAAAGATCGTACATGAATAACATTCTAAAACATATAGTTTGCAGTAATATCATTGTAACTATATATATATATATTTGTTTGTGATATAGTTTCATACCCAAATAATGCATATTGTTACTTATTTTGATTCACTTTAAATGCTATGTGCCAGCGTACAATGTGGCATTGCAGAAGTAATTTTACCTCTAATGCTAATCACGTGCTGGCACGTAGTAATAAAATTCTATGCTTAAAGGCTTAATAGTAATCAATGTGGTACACATAATAATCTTTTATTACCTCTTTTAAATCTCATTTCTTACAATGTGTCGGCATATGGGTACAATCTATTTCTGTGTCACAGCATTAACTATCAATACAACCTCATACGACTGGCAGCGAAAGTGCTAAAGATGTCACTATTTTCTTTGGCATTGATCATTTGGTAATGTAGAAACAATGCCAAGCTAGTCAAACAGTTATTTGGAGATCCATGCCCTGTCAACCAAGGGTTACCACCCTTTCTGAATATTGGTATATTGTTATAGTAACCAAATGGAATCTGAGAACCACCTGCACAACTGTTATATCCATAGTTGTAGCATCACTTTTTGGCTATCTGCCAGTATTGTGTGCCAAAGGCTTCACATGAAGGAACTGTGCCAAATTCATTAACCGCTTATTCCAGAAGAGCAAGATTAAAAAGGGGTGTTATAAAAATTTCAATTGGACTGTCTCAAATTGGCACTAAGCCCTGTTCATGGGAGAGTTCAGATTTGCTTTGGGATCAAATGATAAGACTTTTAAGGCTCTGTAGTGAACAAAGCGCATGGAATGAGTCCCAAAATGTCATCAAAAATCACACATTCAGAAGTGGCAGCATCATGGTGTCAGCTGGGATTTCATTGGGATGTTGCATCTTTTAAAGATGCATCTCTTTAAAAGTGGTTTGTTTGTATTGAGCCAACATCATTAACGAGTATTTGGAGAGCGAGAATATCTCTTGTGTGGCCTGGCCTCTATATTTCTCTGACCTTGATCTTGCTAAAAGTCTTTGGCTCTCAGGCTTTCTGTCTGCATGTTTACCTCCTTCAGACAGTAGGAAACTGCCCTAATGCGTGTTGCTAGCTTCATAGCTAAATAAAAGTATGGGAAGTTGATGTGAAGGTCTCATATCAGATTAATGTAAGTGTTCTTTTTTCCTAGCTTTAAATATCAGTTTGTTAATGACCCAAATCTGGCATTATTGTATAATTTATGGAAATTAAATACTGTACTTGATAAAAGATCTTTGTACATGTTTTTTTTTTCCCTTGCATATAAACACATTTGCTTCCTTTAAGTGCAGTTTGGTGTTAATCAAAGTTTTGTGTTTCCATTTTTGTTGATTTTACCATCACATGCTTAACTTTTGGAAGCCAGTGTATCTAAAGGAAACCTACAGTGGATGGACAAAAATATGGAAACACCTTGTGAAATGCATGTTTGAAAAGAAAGATTGATTTTAATGAAATATGTAGGTGGCGCTGGCATTTTTTACTACTGACGCCACCTATACAACTTCGTAAATGTGCTAAACAGTTCAGTTGTTGTCGGAGTACTGTTATGTGAGGTTGTCATTGCATTATGTCAGAGTTAACTGACTTCGAACGTGAGCAAATTGTTGGAGCACGTATGGTAGGTGCTTCCATAAGCAAGGTAGCCGAGGTGTTTAGTGTTTCAAGAGGTACAGTATCGAAGATTTATTCCGCATATTTGAAAAGCGGAAAAACATCATCTGCTAAATCACAGCGCGGACGAAAGTGTGTCCTGAGTGATTGTGACAGGCGATCATAAAGGGCAATTGTGACGAAAAGTAAGAAGACCACAGCTGCAAAAGTTACTGCTGAAATGAATGTTGTGTTACCGAACCCTGTGAGTACCAAAACAATTAGAAGGGAGCTTCATAAACAGGGAATTGCTGGCCGTGCTGCAATTGAGAAGCCACTCATCAGTGATGCTAATGCCCGTAACAGGAAAAGGTGGTGTTTAAGTCATAAAGCCTGGACTATAGAGCAGTGGAAGCGAGTAATATGGTCTGACGAGTCTTCTTTCACATTGTTTCCCACTTCTGGCCGAGTTTACGTCTGGAGAACGCGATCTCAAGCCTATAATACAGACTGCTTGTTGCCAAGAGTAAAACATGGCGGGGGTTCTGTTATGGTTTTGGCAGCCATATCGTGGTTCTCTGCTAGCCCCATGATAACTGTGTCAGACTTATGTGAACCAAGACTTATGTGAACATTTTGGCCGATCAAGTTCAACCCATGGTACAAACTTTGTTCCCCGATGGTGATGGTGTCTTCCAAGATGACAAAGCCCCTGTTCACACAGCTCACATTGTCCAGGACTGGTTTTCTGAGCACGAGGATGAGTTGTCCCATCTCCCCTGGCCACACAGTCACCAGACCTGAATATTATCGAACCTT